CAAGAGATCGCGTATGATTTTCGACGCAGAGTGTTCGCCTGCGCGTGATCCTGCAGAACTGAAGCCGAAGCTTTGTGAGCAGTTTGGTATCTGCGTGTGTGGTGCTGGTGGTAATGGCAGAAGCGCGCTGGAGTTTCAGAGGCGATTTGCTGCTTTGTTGCGACCGTACTTCACAGCGCCCCGCAAGCGCAAGGGCCAAACGCTGTCCGCGGAATTGATAGCCCGCCGAGCGCAGATTCTAAGCAACAAACGCATGCTGACACAAGGCTTTCTGGTTGCTAGGCTTTCTGCCAGGCAGGGCGGCGGCATGGCGGAGGGCCTTAGTGCAGCTGCCGCGCAGTCCAGCTCTTGGGGCAGGGTCGCCCAAAGAGCAGCCGTCAGCATGCTTTGCGACAAAGATCCTGCTTCCACGGAGATGTGGTTGCACCTTGGCCACCTGAACTTTCGCAACTGGTTTTTTGCTGGGCTGCTGTTGAAGAAGGCCGGCGCAGATCCGGCACCAGGAGCTGCCGGCAAGCAGTTCATTCGGCTGGAGGTGTCGGCAGAGGCACAGTTTCAGTGGTGCATTCCATTCTTCCAGCAACTGCAATTTCAGCTTCCGTGTTTCCTTCAGCTGTACCAGATTGTCAGCAATGATGACATCCTGACCGATCGCCAGATGACGCCAAACTGGGTGCTTGTGTCCGAGTTCGGTGCTACGCCGGAGTTGCGAGTGTGGAAAGGTGAGGATGAGGAGGCGCAAGACAGGGCCAAGAAAAAGTCGAAGTCTAAGTCTACGTCTTCCAAACGTCAAACAGGTGCTTCCTCGAAAGCTCCTGCTGCCAAGCGAAGACGCACAAGCGACGGCGGCAGGCCGGAGCTTCACGATGGCGACCAAGCAGGCGGTGGGCCAGAAGAGCAAGAGTCTGAAGATGACCTGCTTGCTTTACTTTTGGGTGAGGAGGCTGAGGAGGAGGAGAAGCCTGGTGATGGGGACGATGATGAGGTGTTGCCCACAGAGTCAGAGGCGTCTGTGCTGTGCGACGCTGATGATGAGGACGAAGACGATGACGGGGAAGACGGCCCACAGGAGGAGGCGGAGCTTGAGCACAGGCATGACCATGCAGCTGCCTCGGAAGTGGATGTTCAGCCGGAGCCGTCTTCAGGCGCAAGCGCCAGCAGTGTGCCGCCGGAGAGGCCATCTGCCTCATCTGCCAGACGTGATGTAGGCTCTGTGGATGCAGCGGCCCGGGCCCATGCATCTCGCCGCAAGATGTTCAAGGATGTGGCGGTGCCATTCGACAACCACGGCGAGCTTCGCTACAACATCATGAGCGAATCCATCGTGGCTATCTGCAAAGTTCACGGGGGTGCTTGCAAACGCACGCGGACAGTCAGGCCTGCGGCCAAGGACAGTCTGACGAATTGTGGACAGGGGCGGCCTGTGGGGTTGTTGGCGGCCTGGCTCTCGCAATCGCATCAACACGCCAGTTCGGAAGCACACCGAGACGCAATTCTCTATATCACCTCTGCTGCAAGGCGTGCTGCGAGGAGGGCGTTTGCTGCAGTGCCCGATGCTAGCGACATCCTTGACATGGAGCGTGACCGCACTGCTGGCGAGGGGGAGGAGCCTGATGTCATTCGTTGACGTTGTTCAGAGAAAAGAAGTCAAGTCGCGAGAGTCTGAACTAGAGTCTGAAGTCTTGCCTTAACTGGGTGCGTTGCTTGTTTAGTTTAGTTTAGTTTAGGACCGGCAGCTGTAGGTTGCGCACGACTCTTTTGTTTTGAAAGGAAAGGTTTTCCGGGACCTGAGTGTCAAGCTCAGA